GTAAGATGCATATCAATCAAATTCTATTCATGTGTATCGTTTTATAATGATAAATAAATCACATGCAACTTGTCAAGACACTAAAGATCTTTGTTCTATTGAGAGTTTGAAAATGATATAAGACCAAAACAAAACATCGCAAAGAGAAATATCATTATCAAAAAAAGTTTATTTTTGAGTCCATTATTTCTCTTCAAGACTTGTCGGTCTAATTTTTTTGCACTTTGTATAGTACAGATATATATTCATTATATCCCAAAATAGATACTCTATCACATTTATTTTCCAACTTAAAAATATTATATGAATCAGTCTTATGTGCGTACAATTTTGTGCGCGTGAAATTGTCTTATCTTTGTAATTAATAATACTGAAAAAATTATATAGACTTTTCCTGATATGATTTTTAGTATTAATTTCACGATAGTTTGAAGAACTCAATGCGATCTTGTGCGGAAGATGTCTTTTCCTCGTCAAAAATCAGAATCGAATATGAAATTAAATCGTATCCACATCATCTAACCCAGTGCTCGGATTTAGTTGCACATTTCGGCCCGATTCCGTGGCTCACGCCTATTGCCCCCCACTCACCGCTCGTGCGTTAGCGACGAGTCGCCAGATATCCCTATCACTATTTTTAATTTCCAATCAAAGAAGTAGTCATGATGTAACTGTTTAAAATAAAAAATTCGCGTCCAAACTGGTTTTTATATTGGCAGGCACCACCTTATCGAGCGGAGTGGAGTACAAATTATGGTAAATAACGATAAACTTTCTCTCTCTCTCTTTCTCCTTCTCCCTCTCTCCCCCCTCTCTCTCTCTCTTTCTCTCACTTTTTCTCTGACATGACTATACAAGATAATTTGATCTTTTGATCACGTATTTTTTTTATAGTTTAAAGGTAATGAATAAGATTGATAAAAATTTTTCTGCTAAATATTTAAATGATTAAAATCTATATATATAATATAATACAAATTTATAAAATAGTATAACTAACAAATCCATGTTATTTGGCTGCTGCTGCGTGTTAATAAATTTTCCATTTTAGTGGTATTCTTAAAAATATAATGGTTCTTCATTCAAGTATTAAATATCTAAAAAAACAGTTTACATGTCAATAATTTACTTTATTTCGCTGCTTGGTTAAGCTATCGTCTGTAGAACTATCCTAATGGAATTTTATCTTATATATGTAATTGTTGTATGTGTATAGTTTTATAGTAGTAGATAACTGTTTTCTTAAAGTTATCGACGACTCGTCCTCGGTAGTCGCATCTTCTCGTTTGTGTGGGCACATGTTTCTTGCGCGTTCTTTTCTCGACTTGAAAAAAGAAGTTGAAACCGGATAGTAGTTTTATTACTCTAGTACGATAATTGATATCGACCATAATATCATATATGATAATAATGCTAGAATAAAACCGGATCAATCTTAGGAGATTTTGCCAAAAAAAGAAGAAAAAAGGTAATTTCTTCTTATTACATATTTGTATACTTGTACTTAATTATATTTATTTCATGCAACTAATACAAAAATAAATGTACACATAAATTTAACATAAAATTTTTTAATTATTCAAAATTTGGAACATGAGATGAACCTACGTTGCACAAGGCAAAATCTATATATAAAGAAAAGTAGGATAAAACCGGGTAGACGGGTCAAACCGGGTACCTTTGTTTCTTCGTGATAAGTACTATTATCTTTGGCTATCTCGTGTTATTAGTTGATGCCAACATTATTTTGAGATGAACCGTGCCCACGTGCAAACGATATTTCTTTTTGAGAGAAGTTCAGAATTTTCGAGCCAAAAAAGGACGATATCGGCAACAGTCGAGTCGTTATGGACTTCTTCTACACAAAGCATCTGCTTCTGTAAATGCAGCATTACATTCTGTACTGTTCGGGAGTCGACCTCGACAAGATCGCCCAAAACTGAGATACGCTTAGACTTGAGCGAGAAGTGAGCGTAACGCAAATCTAAAGATTCACTGGAGGAACTGGTTTAGAAAATAAACTCATGTGATCGTAATTTTGATGAAAGTTTTTTTTTCATACATTAGGTGCGAGTGACGAAGCGTATTCCACGACTACTTTCGGAAATCTTCGAATGTGTCCTCCTACTTACTGCCTTTTCCACATTTCGGAAATCTTGAAGAACTTCTTGCTAGAAGCTCTCGCGAAGTAGGAAATCTTGAACGCGGACGCCGGAGATCTTTCGCGCAAGGCAGCAGATATTCGCGATACGGTTAACGCTATCGTCGACTCTCGAACTTCCCATTTTCACACATTCATGATATCTTAACAATAAAGAATTAAAGAACAAGATTTAAGAACTGATCGCCGTAAGAATTCAAATAGGCGATCGTGAGCGGGACTCTTTGTTACAAACTTGAGACGAATACGACTACGGCAAACACAATACGAGCGAGAATAACGACAGGAGAATGATAGAAATCGATGAATTTCGACTAGCTCGAATCGTCGTCGTAGACAGACTAAATCGATCGACTACTGAAGCTCGCGTTCTACCGACGGCAACAACAAAAGCTTTTCGACGCAGATCGTTCGAGAACCGCACTGTTTGTTTCAGTTTTTTAGCTTGAAGAACAGCGCACAAGCACGCACCGATCGACTGAACGCTATTTACTCGCTCGTGTTTTGATGTATTAACGGTTACCGTTTAAATATTTGCGAAAACCGTTCGAATCTCAAACATGTACATATTAGAGAATATATCGCACTAGTTTTAATCGTCATTTTGTACGCCGGAATATACAACCGTTGCGTTTGTTATTTTCCTTGTGTTCGGGCAAATCGGGTACCTACACACCTCATGAAAAGAGGAGAAGCTACTATCCTGACTTTGTCTCCTTACAAAAAGCAGTTGGAAACGAAAACTACTACTCAGAAAAAGAAACCATTAAAAAAAGATTTTTGAGACGCCTAAAGTTAAAAAATTAAATAAGAAAGTCCTGCGACAATGTAGAACAAGAGGATATCTTTATTTGTGATTATTGTCAATAGAATACATCTTTGTATTGTATTTTGATTAAAATAAATCTAGATTTTGTAATTGCACGGTGTTTTACATGTTTTCAAATGGGTACCCGGTTTTACCGTACCGGTATGGCAAAACAGGATATTCTGACTTTTCCAAAAAATCTTGTTATCCTTAGTAACCAAATATTTGTTTTCAGCAATTAGACATAATTTCTCATAGTTTAAGATCCACTAAAAACTACTAACGTCAACAAAATTTTTTTTACTCTCTGATTTTTTGGTAGGAATACAAATCCAAAAGAGTACCCGATTTTACCCTTACCACACACACACACACATGCACGTGTGTATGTTTTTTTACTGTTCACATCAACAAGAGTTTTACCAGTTTTAATACTACATGATATGAGATAGGAGTTTATTTTCTTCTACTTATGCCAAAATTCCCTCTTCAAATTGCAGAGTTCTCATTGAACGTCATCGTCCTTGTTCATTCGATTTTCTAAAAGAACCGTTCTCTCGCAAATGTCGATGACTGCACTCAAAAGTAGAATGATGTGGAATGTGATCAGGGAATATCCTTGTTGATATAGTCTCTGTGCTGCACTCAAAAGTAGAATGATGTGGAATGTGATCAGGGAATATCCTTGTTGATATAGTCTCTGTGCTGCTCGTCCTTTACAATTAACAACTCCATAAATAAGATGCATGTCAGTCAATTCTATTTATGTGTATCGCTTCGTAATGATAAACAAATCATATGCAACTTGTCAAAACATCAAAGACCTCCGCTCTATTGAGAGTTTGAATGTGATATAAGACCAAAACGAAACGTCGCAGAGAGAAATATCATTAACATAAAATGTGTTTATTTTGTAATCTTTTATTTTCCTTCAAAGTTTGTTGGTCTAATATTTTTACACCCTGAACAAGACATATATACATATATACAGATATATATACATTATATCCCAAAATAGATATTCTATCACATTTATTTTCCAACTAATAAAAATATCATATAAATCAATCATATGTCCATATGATTTTTGGCACGTGGAATTGTCTTATCTTTGAGATTAACGATACTGTAAAAATTATATAGACTTTCCTGATATGATTTTTAGTATTAATTTCATATTATTTCGAAAAATTCAATGCAATCTTATGCGGAAGATGTCTTTTTCTCGTTAAAAATCAGAATCGAATATGAAATTAAATCGTATCAACACCATCTGATCTATCACTATTTTTAATTTCCAATTAAAGAAATAGTCACAATATAACTGTTTAAAATAAAAAATTTGCGTCCAAACTGGTTTTTATATTGGCAGACATCACCATATTGAATGGAGCGGAGTATAAGTTACATAAAAAAACTTTCTCTCTCTCTCTCTCTCTGTCTCTGTTTCTGTCTCTCTCTCTCTCTCTCTCTCTCTCTCTCTCTCTCTCTTTTTCTTTGATCTATATAAGATAATTTTACCTTTTGTTCACGTATTTGTTTGTAGTTTAAAGATAACGAATAAAATTGATAAAAATTCGTTGATGGTACAAATAAAATTTTTCTTAAGCAAGTGTACTCGATTATAACTGTTCCCGAAAAAAAAAAATTTCTACTAAATATTTAAATAACTAAAATCTATATTTATAATATAATATAAATTCACAAAATAGTATAGCTAAAAAATCCATGTTATTTGGCTGTTGCAGCGTATCAATATATTTTCCATTTTAGTGGTACTCTTAATAATATAATGGTTTTTCATTCAAGCATTAAATATGTAAGAAAAAGAAATAGTTAACATGTCAACAGTTTACTTTATTTCGCTGTTTGGATAAGCTACCATCTACATAGAAGTATGCTAATGGAATTTTATCTTGTATATGTAATTGTTGTATATGTATAGTTTTATAGTAGTAGATAGACTGTTTCCTCAAAGCTATCGACGACTCGTTGTCCTCGGTAGTCGCATCTTGTCGTTTGTGCGGGCACATGTTTCTCGCGCGTTCTTCTCTCGATCGACTCGAAAAGAAAAGTTGAAACCAGATAACAGTTTTATTGACTCTAATAAGATAACTGAATATATATAAAATATATGATAAAATCGACCATGATATCATCAATGATAACAGTGTTAGAATAAAACTGGATCAATCTTAGTTTAACAACTGCCCCTATCACGATATCACCGTTTTTAGTACTTCCGTAACTTGTTTTATCGAAGTGCTGTTCTATCGACATCAATTCACTTTCATGCATTCGCGAGAATAGATCCTTCGAGAGCAGTTTCTTCGATGTTGAGGACTGGGACAGAAATAAGTTGTCACGATTAAACCATCGCAAACTAACAATATTAGCGTATTTTTTAAGCCGCAGTTCGCATATCATCGCAATTAGGCATCTAAATATGAAATTATCATTAAAAAAAAATAAAATACGTATTTTCGAGATATAAATTCGACGCGTCAAAAAGTCAACCATGTGTAGAAAAAATTTGGTATTTTGGTATTGCACGCTTTTTCTCCTCGTCGCAATGTCATCGAAAACTCAACAAAATTTTACTGGCAATGAAGAGAAAAATGATCATTTGACAATACAATATGAGATAGACGGAGATTCTACAACAAACTACGGCGACGAAATAAAAATACGGCTATTTGATTTGTACGAAAAAACTACCAATAATACGCAATACGAAGATGTGCAGTATAAATCTCGCACCGTATCCACGAGCAACGATCGCGAAAATGATGACTGGAAACAGTTTATTTTTATACAAGAATTTTATGAAAACTTAATGAGAATTGAAGATAAAAACAATTCTATGATCAACATGTCGCACAAATTTGGAAATTTCAGTAAAGATAACAATACAAGTTGCATCATTCCAGACGAAACGTCCTATAATATTATTTGCATTCAACTTTGTTGTCCTCTTGGATATCGCCTGAATGAGGATGAATGCATCTTGGAAAAAAATAAATACATCTTCCCGAACGTGTACGAATACATGAATGATTCATTACAGACCATAAATAAGACAGTGGACGAATTGTTTCAGCTGGCCGTCTATGATCCGTGTCAGGATCAACATTTTATGCTTTACGATGATGAGTACATGTTCTTTGCCAATGGTTCTCTCTATTTATCTACTATTAAAATATTTGCCAATTCGACATCATATTGCCTCGCAATGCACGAAGATAAGTACGAAGTGACCATCTGCTTAGAGAGCTTAAAGAGCTGCATCTTGGAGAGCTTCTATATAGAATACGACATCTATAATTATGTCGAAAACCACGAAACCTTACGTGTGAACTATTATATAGTGTCTATACTACTTTTAATGTCAATATTTGTGGTGTACTCCATATTACCAGAGCTTCGGAACGAACACGGCTTCATGTTGCGCAATTACAGCGGAGCATTGTCTGTCGCATACATAACTGATTTTATACCTATTCTAATCGAAGCGTATCATATACACCCTTCGGCCTGTTTTATAGTCGGTACAGTATATCTAAATCATATAACTATGCAATCAGTATAGCGTATATATTTATCAGACTTGTGTATTAATTATTTTTTTTAATAACTTGAATGTATATATATAATTTATATATAAATGCGAGGATTAATAGTGAGTAAAATTTGAATTTTAGGTATACATTCTAATATCAGGTGATTGCATAAGTTCGTGCCCGATTTAAATAAAGTTGGCCTCCATAAATATATTTTCTGCATTTTAAAATTTTGGAGAGTTATCTTTTGAATTGAAATATTATTTAATTTAATATCAGTACATATTTATCTAATATATTAATATTGCTATAAAATATTAGTGCAGAAACTTAAAATAAATCAATTTTTTAACGGAGAAACGAAGTGGTATCTGTGAGTCCAATCTGCATTTTAACGCGTGCTCAATGGTTAAAATATTCTTTATTCCATTTTTGCAGCCTTCCTCAAATATTTTTTTTTTTTTACAACTTTTTTCTGGCTAAATATAATGAGTTTCGACATGTGGTGGACATTTAAGTAAGTTGCCAAGTTTTCATATTACACTATATATTATATTATATTATATTTTATATCTGTAATTTGCTCCATCTGTAATTTTAACTTATTTTGGTAGAATTGAGTTATTATATTGTACAACAACGCGACAATATAAATCCGTAATATATAGATGTATTTTATATATTATATCTACCAATATATAAAAACAAAGACGAGGAATGATACGATATTTTGAATTAATCAAACAGAATGTTTTCTTTTGTTATGTTTTTGTGTGACAGTGTAAGCAACTATTTGACTTATGATATTATAAGTTTAGAAAATAAATGTAATAATTATGATTGCAAATAAACAATTTTTTGGAAGATCTCTAATGTTATTGGATGAATATTTGCAAACGGTTAGATCTATTTTGTGATATCCAATTCAATTTTTGGAAGCAAAAATTACATATTAGTTAATGAACATTATAAAACATTTGTAAAATATATTATTATCTAATCTATAATAATTCACAATATGTATAATGTGATAAACTCCTCCTGAAAATTTTTTGAATATTTTATAAACCTAATATTTTATCTTTTCTTTCTTTCATGTGTAACAATAAGGCAATACACAATAATTTTTAATTCGGTAAATGTTCAGATTAAGTTACACCTCACAGATCGTTTTCATTTGCACATATATTATAGGGGGCACATTCCTAAGTAATACGCACTGTGGATTTTATGGCGCTCTCTTCTGGTTCCAGAGATATGCAATTTTAAAGTTTCACAGTTTTAATGCTTTTTCTGTTATAAAATAAGAAAAAATAAAGTTTGTTTTCGTTGTATTTGTGTAAAGCAGACGTGGAAAAAGTATTTGTTTACATTTTTGGAAACAAAGCTCCTCGAATTTTTCCATTTTCTACGCGAAGCGAGGTTCAACGCGAACCTATGTGTCTAGTTTTTTAATAGTGGAGCCCCCCCGCAGGGGAGGCGGAACATACTGTCTCCACGCATATACTTTTTAATGCGTAAATATAAAATGGAAAGTTGTAAACCCATGTGAAACCTTATTTTGTATTAAAAAGTATATGCATGAGACAGTATGTTCCGCTCCCCCTGCGAGGGAGCTCCACTATCGAGAACTAGACACATAGGTTTGCGTTGAACCTCGCTTTGTGTGGAATAGCAATCGTGGGAAAGTAAATTCTTTTTATCAAAAATTTCTCTTGCAATTAAATTAAGATTGCTGTTTTGTCGTGTCTGTACATAATGGTATACACATATAAATATATGATAGTTTATGAATGTGTGTGTGTATGTCTAATGTTAAACAAATATTAAACCATTTTTCATGATAGTTTAGTCGTGTGGTTTGTCGTGTCATGTAAATCTATTTTTGTAGAACGGACTTTCGGGAAAGCCTCGATCAAAAGTAAACATTATTTTAACGTGCATTTATATTGTGATTTCGTTTCTCTATTTTTGGCTAAATATGACGTGTTAATTGCGTTTTGCAGAGGATTCAGTTCGTTACAAAGAAACGTTAAACAACGAAAACGAAAGAAATTGGTGTTTTATTCGATCTTTGCGTGGAGTTTATCCTTTATCTTAGCTATTATCAGTTTCATGATGGATATTACTTCGAATATGAATTTGTACTTTGTCATAGAAGATTGCGAGTTCACTGGTAAATGGATGACTCTTACAGATTCTATTAACGCCGCATTTTAATATACCATAAATAATATACATAAATAGTATAAAAATTCTTTATATTTCATACTTACAGAGATGGTCGTGTTTACGCCGTATTATTATGGGTTTCAAAGTATTTGCATCATTAGTAGCATTTGCTTATCCATCTCTACGGCATTGAAAATCTCGCGCTATGAAAATGAAACAGGCAATCGTTTGGCAAATTCGGAAAGCCGGAAATATAATGACAATAAGAAATGGTTTGTATTCAGACATTTTTGCATCAATGTGTGATGATCTATCTTGTTAATGATATTTTTGCCGACATATTTTTACCAACATCTCTGCTAATAGTATTAAATAATCGATGGATTTGCATTCCTGATAGAAAAAAGAGATGATTATTTGTAGACAACACTTTTTTTATATGCTCATTCTTTTTTTATTTTTACTTACATAATCTTTAAAAAAGATATACACTACTTAAAAAAAATAGAAAACACTTTTCATAAGCTAAAATTGGGCTATTTCCAAACCGCTAAAATTTGGCAAAAAATTATCGTAGACAAAGATTAAAAAAGCATTATAAAGCTTGAAGTTTCTTGATCATTAACGCGCTATCGGTAGATTTTTAGAATTTCTTTATGGTCCCCGTTTCAGACTTTAAAAAAGAACGGGTACAGTTCCGAAAACGATAAACCTCTGATTGCGCTGAAATTTTAACCAAAGCTTGTCCTTGACTTGAGTATAAAGCATCTTGAGGGTTTTTTGCCGACGAAGCCCCGTTTGCCCCCTATGCCCCCTCAAAGTTCCAAACATTTTTACTGTATATCACCAAAAATATTGGTTTTAGAGAAAAGAGTTTCCAACAAAAAATAAAGTTCTTAAAAAACTGAACAGAAAAGATTATGTACATTTTTTACGTAAACCCATTATTTTGAATGTTATGTAATAAAATAATAATTTTAACGTTCTCGTCTAAAAATATATTGTACCAATGTGTCTAGTTCTTTGGTAGTGGAGCCCCCCCGTGGGGGAAGGGGGAACACACTGCCTCCACGCATACACTTTTTAATGCAAAGTGAGGTTCCACATGGGTTTACAAATTTTCACGTGAAGCAAGGTTCAATCCAAACCAATGTGTCTAGTTCTTTAGTAGTGGAGCCCCTCCTTAGGGGGGAGGCGGAACACACTGCCTCCACGAATACACTTTTTGGTAAATATGCCGATCAAGGGAGGCAGTCCCGATGATCTTGACCTTGACATATGTTGTCAAGGTCATGACCCTGAACAACATTCAAAAAGTCATAGCCGTCGCTCGTAGTTTATTAAAAAGTTATTAGTGAAGAAACTTTAATGAATAGAACATAATTTTACGACACCATGTACGTTTTAGAAGGGTTAAGATTAGATATAGAATGAATTTGGTTTCGTTTTGGAAAGTACATGTATGGACGCAGGTTCCGCCCCCTTACGAGGGGGGCTCCACTTCCGGAAGATATAATGTTCCGGAAGTGGAGCCCCCCGCAGGGGGGGCGGAACCCACTGGGTCTACGCATACACTTTCCCATCCACACAACAATCATGGAGTGGATCTCATAGCTTCGCGTTGTAAAGTATATATATGCGTGGACACAGTGGGTTCCGCCCCTCCTGCGGGAGGGCTCCACTTCCGGAAGATATAACCTAACCCAGACCTATTTTTGATTTAAAACTAAAATTTATGCTATGTACATGGTGTCAGACAATTACGTTCAAATCGTTAAACTTATTTTGTTAATAACTTTTTAATAAAAAACGAGCGACGGCTAAAACCTTTTGAATGTTGTTCAGGGTTATGACCTTGACAACATATGTCAAGGTCAAGGTCATCGGGACTGCCTCTCTTGATCGGCATATTTACCCACTTTTTAATGGGAAGTGAGGTTCTACATGGGTTTACAAGTTTTCACGCGAAACGAGGTTCAATCCAAACCAATGTGTCTAGTTCTTTGGTAGTGGAGCCTTCCCGCAGGGGGGAGGGGGGGCGGAACAATGCCTCCACGCATATACTTTTTAATGCGAAGTGAGGTTTCACATGGGTTTACAAGAAGAAATTGATTTGGGAATCTACAACTGAAGGAAATCTATTAATATATTTCCCCATGAATCAGGTCCGATACATTGTATTAACACGATAGCGTTAAAATTATTATTTTATCACGTAACTTCTAAAATAATGGGTTTATGTAAAAAATGTATATAATCTTTTTTGTAGAGTTTTCTAAGGGCTTCATTTTTTGTCAAAAACTTTTTTTCGTAAAATCAATATTTTCGGTGATATACAGTAAAAATATTTGGAACTTTAAGAGGGCATAGGGGGCAAACGGGGCTTCATCGGCAAAAAACCCTCAAGGTGCTTTATATTCAAATCAAGGACAAGCTTTGGTTAAAATTTTAGCGCAATCGGAGGTTTATCGTTTTCGGAACTTTATCCAAAAGAACATATTGTTTTGTTGCTAAAAATTACATATTTTTGAAAAATTACATATTCTGTAACTCCATAAATCTTTCTACAAATATTTGTGAAGTTCCATAAACTATACACATTTCACCTACAACGCTTTTTGAAAATATTTCTACGATTTTTTTTTGGCCGAGTTACACGTAATTAAAACTGTATTTTTTAAAAATAAGAAAAGAAAATTTATATTTAATTACCGGTATCACATCAAAGTTGAAACATTAAGCTTCAAAATGTTTTTTAAATTTTTTGTCTGCGATACTTTTCCATCGAGTATCGACAACATTTCTTAAAAATACAAGCTTTGTTTCAAAGTCATGTAATTCGCTCCAAAAAAAAATCGTAGAAAAATTTATAAAAAAATTTTTTTATAGGCAAAATGTTGTCGTTTATAGAAATTGACTTGAGTTTTTTATTTTTTAAAGATAACTTGATTAATAGTATTTATAATTGTTATTTTATATTTACATATATAAGTACATATATATAAGTATAAATGTGTGCGATACTTGTTTTTTTTTTTAATACACTGCGCGAGAGAAATGCGTTTTCAAGTACATAGATACAATATAAGAATCGCATTAATGGCGCATAAAAGTATTCTCGATGCTCCTCTCAGTTAATAAGGGACGGGATGATTCGCGCGATATTTTGCCAATGATGAGCGAAGAAGGGAACAGAAACAAAGTTGAAAATGATAAGATGACGCGAATGATGGCGATAACGAAAATATATATATATATGTGTGTGTGTGTTTGTTTCTAGGTCCAATCTGTATCTGAAGCTATTTATCCTGCTGTTTATCTTAATGGGAATAAAATGGTCTATGATGACAATAATGTGGTTATATAAATATTTATCGTTATCTGAACAATTATTGATATTTAAATATGCGAATTATTTCATAAATGTTATTGTTTTGACGGATATTATGCAGAATGTGTGCACTTTCATTGTATTTGTGTTGAAAAAAAAGATCATGCGGATGTTATTGAAGCGATTCGGCTGCGGTTTTCGATGCGCAATAAACGCAACATCGCCGAGTACTGAATCGACGTACACCATTACGTTAGAAGAGATGCCTATGCAGAAAAAGATGAGTTCTTGCGAACAAAGGATATGTTATGAGAAAGATTCGTCCTGTGAGACTAAACTCTAATGTTCCAATATGCAAAAAAAAAAAAAAAAAAAATTATTGCGAAACCGACACAACGGTTCATTAACAATTAATTATAATCTGATAATTTTCGAATTGAGAATTAACTATGCAATGTTGGATATTGATTTTTTTCTGTTTTTCTTATTATTATTTAGTAACTTTTATTCTTTAAAATTTATTTATGAGCTTTTATTTGGTTATTTTTGTAACAACTAAATATTGTTGAGTTCACTCGAGTTGATATCCTTTTATGAGCACATCTCACGTTTTCACCTCAAAATATTATAATTAATGTCATATTTTATATAAATATATAAAATATTACTGTTTTACTGAAGACTGTAATAAAAAGTTTGTAAATAAAGCATTTATTGTAATATTTCAATATAATAACTTGCTATTGTAAAATTATCATAACGTAATTCAGTTTAATTTATTTTTAATTTTTAATTTTCTGCTTATAATAAATCTTTTGTCGGTACATATTATTGCGAGTCAAATTAATGATTGCAATCCCGTAAAAATTGTTAATGTTGTAAAGAATTGTTAAAGATATTGTGCTGCAAAATATTAATCAAAGAAGATTATCTTTGAGGCAAATATATAATTTATAAAAAAATAATAAAACATTATCTTTTCGTATGGTCCAATTGGATTACAAACGTATTCATATATTTATATAAATGCGACCATTTTAAATTGTTTAAAAATAGAATTCTTTTTCGGTTTTCTCTATGCAATTATAATTTGTATACATATATAAATTTGTGCGAGAAAGAAGTGGACGTGGGCGAGAGAAGCCCTGCGAGATCGAGTTTGCACCGGACGCGCAAAGATACTTTCCGCGAGCGGCGGATGTATCTTGAATACCGCAAGCGACGGTATAAACGGCGCAATTCCGCGAGCGACGGAATAAATGGCGCGTTTTAATTGCGAGAGATTAATCGCGAGCGACGAGAAATCTCTTTTATTACGATCGAAAACTTCGCGTTTGGTAAGCGAGAGTACGAACTAGAAAAGCGAGCGACTTTTCCATCACGAGAGTTTAGACGATATAATAACACACGGATAAAGTTCCGAATAGGTGAACCCTCCGATTTTTTTGAAACTACACTATTTTTTGTATTTTTTAACGCTGATTACAACACGAGCGATGCCGCGGGCCTGGCGATTCGTGCAGCGCCGCTGTCTACGCGTGATCTGATTTGCGGCGAGCCGTGCGACGCGCGAGATGGTAGCTAACGCGCCAATTTTCGAGCGCTTCCTTTAGAGACGCTCAATCTCAAACAAAATTAATTAATTATAAGTTAAAGAAAATGATAAATTTCTTACATAAATTGTATATAAAATACTAAATTAGCTAAAAATATAATTTCATATTCTTAATTAAATATGATGCACAAATTTTTTTGCGCAATATATATAGAATGAAAATTATAAAAATATATTTAATTTTCAACAAATTTAAATTTTAAACATGAGAAAAACATCTAAGAAATAATTCTTCTCTTTTATTAGTTTTTTTTAACACTGCGTAATTATTATTATGTGTAATAATTATCAGCGCTATGTGTACAATATATTATGATATATCTAATAATTAATGAGTAAATAAGATAGCTGCCAATTTAAATCATTTATAATACAAATAAATTACTATGTAAGTAATTTTTATTTTAAACTACTAAATAATATTTATTTTATACTATTAAATAATGTACAAAAAAATCTCGCATTTTGATTTTGTGTACTTATATTCGTCGCTTCGTCTTCCAAGCATCAGCTGAATTGCACGAGCAACGAAGAAATATATGACAATTTGGCGATACAATATACGAGCTTGACGAGAATTCTATGGCAAACTATAGCAACGAAACGGAAACGTTGCAATATGATTTGTACAAAAAAAAAAGGATAATTTGGTGCAGTATCAACTCGAATCGCATTCCATAAAAAATCATGAAAATAATAGTCACATGTTGGGAGGATTTCGCATAATCTCAATAAAAATCAACAGTAAGAAAGATTCCACGTCACAGGAAATTTATAGAAACTTGATAGAAATTGAAGGTATGAATGATTCCACGTCGTATGAGTTCTATGAAACTTTTAATGAAGATGAAAATAAATACAACATTGTTCGATATGAGATGTTCGCCAATATTACTTCGCCAATATTACTTGGATTCCACTCCGCTGTCCTCTTGGCAATCGCCTGATTGACGACATCGGGATATCGGGTTAAATATTTTTACATGAATAGAATATTATTAAAGGATGGTTGGTATTGAATTTGGTGAAGATCGGTGAAAGGGTTCATTCTTTCATTCTTTTTGAATTTTTTGAGAAATGTCTGTACACGCTGTAACTTTCGGAAAATTCCACGTCACAGGAAATTTATAGAAACTTGATAGAAATTGAAGGTATGAATGATTCCACGTCGTATGAGTTCTATGAAACTTTTAATGAAGATGAAAATAAATACAACATTGTTCGATATGAGATGTTCGCCAATGTTACTTCGCCAATATTACTTGGATTCCACTCCGCTGTCCTCTTGGCAATCGCCTGATTGACGACATACGCATCCTATAAAAAAATTAAGTGTTTCTTTTCTTTTTGCTTCCTCATAGAGAAAGCTTTATTTTCGTGACAAAATTTTTTTTCCAGTTTTTTATGCTAATGTGTTTAAAATGTTCCAAAACGTCAAAAAATCATATTTTAAAAAAAATGTCTATATGTATGTATGTATGTACAAGGGTGGATCGAAAAGTAATTTGGTTCAAAATAACAGACAATAATTTTAAATTTAATTTGCACTTTATTTAAAAAAAAAAGAAATACACGAACAAAGTTACTTTTTGATCCACTCTGGTATGTACGATATTTACATTGTACAACCTCTAATTTCCGCAATTTGTGAAATATTGGACTAAATTTTTTAGAATGAATACAGTATCATTAAAGGATGGTTGGTATTGAATTTGGTGAGGATCAGTGAGAGTGTTCATTTTTTATAAAATTTTGAATTTTTTGAGAAATGTTTGTACATGTTCTAATTTTCGTAAATTTTGAGATATCGGGTTAAATATTTTTACATGAATAGAATATTATTAAAGGATGGTTGGTATTGAATTTGGTGAAGATCGGTGAAAGGGTTCATTCTTAATACAATTTTGGTTTTTTTAAGAAATGTTTGTACACGCTGTAACTTCCGCAAAATTTTGAGATATCTTCTTCTATGAGAAAGCCAAAATTGAAAAACCCGCTTGCTTTAAAGAACTTAAGTTTTGTGAGTGAAATAAAATAATGAGTAAGTAATGTGCAAGTTTCGAATTTGCACAACTTTCATCTTATTACCAAATGTATATGGACATATAGACGATTCGTTCCAGAACGAAAGTAAGAGAGTAGACAAACTTTTTCATCTGGTCGTTCACGATCCGTGCCGGAAAAATCAATATTTTTCGCTTGATTTCAACTATAAAAACCATTCGAAAAATAAATATGTTTTTCTTATTACCATATATTCATAAAATCAAAATTTTATTGTCTGGCTCCATCATGCATCAGAACAATTTTGATATAATTATCTACTCGGAGAATGTAAACTATCAAAAAAATGAAAGATCTATGAAAAATATCATAAGTTACAAAATCATCATATTTAGAAGTTTGTTTATAGTATCTACACGCTGTTTTTGCTGGGAACATTTCTGGTGTATTCTAATCCCAAAAAAATTAATTTTTTTTAGAAAAGATAAAGAAAGACGCCAAATACTAGCGTCAGTTGTGAAAAATTGTTATATGTATTTACGAAATCCCACAAAAATAATGACATCAAAAAATTGCGCCAATTGAAAATAAAAATTATTCAAATATTATTACCAAGAACAGTTGTACAAAATAGCTGTTTTAATTTCCTACAAGAATAATGATATTAAATTTTTGCTAACTAAATAAAAATGTATGCTATATATATAAAATTTAATTATTTTCAATATTAAAAAAACAAATATATTCAATAATACAAAACACAAAAAATATAAAACAAAAAATTAATACAAAAAATTAAAAATTTATACAAAAATTCAAAATTAATACAAAAATTCAAAATTAATACAAAAATTCAAAATTAATACAAAAATTCAAAATTAATACAAAAATTCAAAATTAATACAAAAATTCAAAATTAATACAAAAATTCAAAATTAATACAAAAATTCAAAATTAATACAAAAATTCAAAATTAATACAAAAATTCAAAATTAATACAAAAATTCAAAATTAATACAAAAATTCAAAATTAATACAAATAAAAACAAGTTGAGTTGTGCAAATTAAAAACTTGCACATTGCTTCCTCATCATTTTATCTTACAATGCTTAAGCTGCTTTAAGCTTCCTCTATGAGAAAGCAAAAAATAAAAAATTTTAATTAAAAAACCTTGGTGCTGCTAAACTAAACAAGAATGCTAAAATTAATATATTCTTTAATAGATTTACATTGCAGTTATGATGTTATTATACAATTTTTAATTTTTGTATAAATTTTGAATTTTTTGCATTAATTTCTAAGTTTTCGTTTTTCTGTCAATTTTTTATTTTGTGTTTTGTGTTATTAGATATATTTTTTTTTAATATTGGAAAAAAGTAAATTTTACATATATAGCATTTTATATTTAGTTAGCGCAACTTTTCAATATTATTATTTATGTAAAAAATTAAAACAGCTATTTTGTATAATTGTTTTCAGTTAAAATATTTGTAATTGTTTTATAATTTTTTTATGTTTAGTTGACGCAATTTTTTGATATCATTATTTTTGTAAGATATGTATAACACATAACAGTTTTTCATAACTGGCGTGTGTACTTGGCACCTTTTCTTATTTTTTTTTAAAAAGATAAAGTTTTATGGATAATTTGCTTTACATTGAGCTGCATGGTCTATCTTATAATAACATAATGAAAAAATATACAGCTGTATAAAAATTAGACC